CAAGGAGCCATTCTCTTGAGATATAATTTATTGTTCTAAAGCTTTGACACTACAGTGACATGTTCACGATGTATAATAATGAAAACTTTGCTTGTAATCGAAGCTGCAGTCCACAATCTTATTAACCCAGCATTGAATGTAATGAAATGCCTCTTTCTGGAGGAGCCCTGGTGATTACTTAAAGCTATCTTGCTGAGATTGCTACATATTAAAAGGTCACATCGATTGCTGAAGTTCCGTTCGACCTACCAGGGACCCGAGGCAGAACCTGGCCCCTCACAGAGGTGCAGGGAGAGAGTGAAAATTCACAAACCCACCAGGAAAACTACTGAAATCCAAAAAGTCAGTGAAGCTTTACAGATAACTGGAGGCTTTATACAAAACAGATCCTCAGACAAACAACTCTGTAAACAATTCACACTGAACAAGGATTCACTCAAACTAGCTCAAAACTCAGTAGTACCGATCACCATCACCAGCAGCCTGGCCCAGCCTGAGTCTGCTTCCCTGACCAGCCATTTCTGGAGCTGATAAACTCCACTGATGAATCACTAACCTGGAGGGAAGAGCAGGAATATGGGAGCCACTGGGCTCTACCAGAAAAATGGCATTTCATTACATTCAATGCTCACTTCATGGGAGAGCCCCCTTGTATGTATTTGTGTGGGGGTTGGTTACCCGAAGTTACCTTACCACAAAAAACAAAAAAGGGACTTGCCAGGAGACATGGTGGAGGTACTTAGACAAGAAGAATACCCAGGGAGTAAACAAGGTACAAAGGAACACTTGACAGACTGGGACTAAGAACACTGACTAAATACTGGGCTGCCACAACCCAATTAGAGCACACAAACTACCTAGCCCAAATGTCAGGCCAGAAAGTGTTGGAGAAGACCGAGGCCAAAGCTGTATGTATGCAAACAACATGGGCCTGAGAATAGACCACAGGCCACCTAGATTTAATGATATGCGTACAACCTGAGAAATGCAGCGTTGGAACAAGGGATCAAGGAACCAGGGTCAACCAGCAAAGGCATCCACCGAGGCAGAACTGATGGCCCTCAGGTAGCAGAAAAAAGCCACCACCGGACACAACAAATGATGCAACCCCGGCCAAACTAACCAATCATCAATCACCAGAGACCCTTTCTGGAAGCCAACTGCCAACCAGTGCCATAATAACAGAACCCCCAGCTCTGGAGAAGAATCTGAAGCTTCCTAAACCCTAAAGCCAAAGGCAAGAGCCAATAAAGATACCATCGTAAGGAGGATATCATGACCTATGGGGAAAACTGCAAAGCAAGGCAAGGAGAGAAAAATTGTGACAAAACAACCACCAAGCAACTTCATACTGCTGTTGTGACAGAAGATGTGGGGGAAACACCAACAAACCAGTTACCTGCTCACCGTACAAATGGGGAGAGATGCATCAGAAACTTCAGACATGAAGAGCGAAAAACCCTGGAGGTCAAACCAATTAAATAAATTGTAGGGTCAATCTGTTGAAACAAGCAGGGCCACAGGATAACAACTGGGTTTAGACACTGCGAAAAATGACAGAATCAAGACTGGGGTGCCCATTAAGGAGCCAAAAGGATCACCCTCCCCAAGTACAACTTCACACCGGGCAGCACTCAGAACAACTGAATTGGAGGAAAAAGGTAAACGCACTCCACCTCAATTATGCCAGTCAAATGGCATCCACCATTTCTTTCATGGTGGATGCCAACTTCTCGGGTAGAAAACTACCCGAGAAACCATGTTCGTCGTTACCGGGAATGTCTACATTGCTAGCTGAATACAGAATCATGTGTAACACTTATCCTGTTTCAGAGTCACAAAGAACAAAGAATTTCAATCCAAATCCGTTTCGTTTGGAGGGAATATACTGCTTGAATGAAACACGTCCTTTGAAAAACACAAGGGATTCGTCAATCTCCAGCTACTGTGCTGGTATGTAAAAATCTCTGAACTTTCCAATCATTTCATTCATATAGTACCTCACTCACCAAAGTCTATCATCCTCTGTCCAGTCCTCATTACTTGCAAAAATGCAGACACTTGAGGAGTATCTGAAACCTGTCTCGGGACATATATTTCCTGAAGAAAGGTGTTGGAATAGTCAGATCATTGCTCCAATAATCTGTGATAGCATGTTTGGCACAGTGCTTTATCAACATACATATTGCTAAAAACACATACATTTCACCTACAGTGGTGGTTTTCCAACGATGCAATCGTGAAAATTCTGTTATCTCTTTTCCAATGAGATGAGCAGCATGAAGGTTCATTTGGTGTACAATATATTCCACGAGCGGCTCATCATAGAATGTAGTAAAATAATCCAATTCACACATGTCCTCTCCATTATCAGGGAAAAGTTCTGTAATCCCAACGTCTTTATTGTCAAAGGCAGGAATTCGAGGAATAAAACCAGCACCATCACTCCACACTAGTACACCTGGTGTCCTGCGAGACGCAACAGGGGCACGACGGCGAGGAAGCGATGCAGACCGTGGACCAGGAGCTGAAGCCTGTCTACGCACAGTACGACTGCTACGTGCACACAAGGTGGAAGCACGTGAACATGAGGCTCTTGGTGCCTCGTTGTTCCATGTGGTGGCGCTTGACTGGCCGAGACGCTGCTGACACAACAAATTCTCACCCAGTAACACCACTGGTACTGGCACCAGGCTTGGTAACGCTATACTCTGATTCTTCACTAAAACCAGAAAAAGAGTCACCTTTCTCTGACTCATCACCCAAAATATCCTCCGACTAAATAAGCACAGGAACTGTGTGGTCATGGGTGAATTGGAGTAGACACTGGGCGAGGTGGCATAGGTGAGTGTATAGGCCTCGCCATGGGAAGCGGCTGTATCTCAATTTCACTGTGCTACTATTATTGGTCAATTGTGTGTAGTCCCTATCATTGTCAGAGTCATCAAAATCACTTTCATCACCATCAGAAAATAATTAACTAGTTATTTGCTCTCGGGTGAGCGAGTGATTGTGTGGTGCGAGCCTGGGAGGCGTTAGGCCGTGCGCTTGACATGGTGGCTGCTGGGCAACTGATGCCTCCCACGCGATGGTAGCATGAGCTGGATTTTTTTACAAAATGGTGGCTGTTTACTATAGCCCCTGGGCAGCATATGGGGGGGGGGGCCCCCTCTATCCCGTGGGACATTCAAATCTTGCACGGTACTCCAAAACATCATATGATGTGGAGTGCAAGTTATTGCAAGTTACTCAACCCATCATATGATGAGTTGTGCAGTTTAAGGGTTAAGGGCTAAACTCTGACTTCAATCAGAACCCCTCAGATGCTTCAGAGCCAGAACCCAGGGAAACCAGAAGCAGGGCAACTCACACTTACAGGGGAAGGCAGAGATGATGCAGACTTAGTCAAGGTGGAGTTTAACTCCAATTCAACTTATGATGTTGAAGGACCCAATTCTGGGTCCTTCAACATCATAAGCCTCTGGTCCATAACAGGCCACACCATAGACCTTTGGGGGGATTACCAGAGCATAACATCAACTAAACAAGCAGAAACCTAAGCACTGGGGGACCACTCACCAGAAGAAAAGTAACCAAACAAATCAAAACAACCACAAAACAAATGGAGACTGCAACACTCAATATAAACAATCACAAGAACCCTAGCACAACTAAAAAAAAAAAAAAAAAAAAAAACACCCCTAACCTTACAACCAAATCAATACTTCCCCAGCAAAAGGCCCAGAGGAATCCAATACCTGTATTTGTAATCACCTCAAGGTGAGGCTTTCCACTCCAGTGCCCTGGCCTTTCAAGGGCAAACTCCCCCACATACCAGAGAAGATAAACGACTGTGCAAGGCCAGGGTTAGTGGGCACCCAGGGAAGGAAACCCCTGAGTGCACGCATCCCAAAATACAATGAAAACAAAACCTCCATACCATGCCAGATATGAAGGTAACATTGAAATTAGGTACACAACAGGAAGGAAATGGCCCCTTCAGGACAAAGTACAACGATGGCTAGCACTTAGATTGAAGCAGCGGGGCTTGTCCACAACTGGTGGACTGAAGCACTACTGGTAGACCCATGCACCATAACATCAGCAATAGAACTGGCTGGTCAGGAGTCTGCTGCAGGCTGGGGCTGGCCGTCTGATGGCAATTGGTATTGATGAGATTCAAGCAAGTTTGAGTGAATCCCTTGTTCTGTGTGAGGTATTTGCCAAGTAGTTGGTCTGTTTTAAGGCTTCATTTTCTAAAACTCCCCCAGTTGTCCATAAAGCTTTGCTGACTTTCTGGATGCTTTCCCGGTGAGGTGGAGAATCATCATTCGCTCTTTGCACTTCTGAATGGAGGCCATGTTCTGCTCTGGTCCCCAGTGGGCCAAACAGAACTTCCACAACTAATATGACCTTTTAGTAAGTAACAATCTCAGCAACATAAGTCATTTAATTCTTAAAAACAAATTTAATGACATTTTTGAGAAAGATCAATAACCAAATAAAAAACGAAAATGATACATTACACAAGAACTGTCATTTTCAAGCACATTTACACTGGGTGCAAGGAATGCAATTACTGTCCTAAAGTTTATTCAGCCACATTAAGCTCCCTTAAATACTACATATTAATCACTAATAAGTTCATAATAATTATCAACACAAACAATAAACAGTGTTTTACCTATAATCCAACCATGGGTGACCCCAAGCAAAATCATTGTTGGATTATTATCAATCGATGATTCAGAACTGAACTTTGTGGAACTGTGTGTTGTCTAGGAATAAGAAGAGCAAAGATATTCCTGTTTGGAGTACCAAATGGGCTCCCACCACCACTAATCTTTGGACACATTTTCACAATATAATCTCCAATATCTGTGTTATTGTTTATTTTCAATAAAAAGTTTTTAAATAAAACCTACACTAAATAATGAAAAATGTTAGACAAGTAGAGCCTAAACCCACGTGGACATTTCAGTAGCCTGGGACATGTGTACCTTGGACATCCAGACCTTTACTTTACTTGTGTCAAGTGAAGGAGAGCAAGAATTAGAGGTTGCATGACATGATGCCTCTGCCATTTCACTACTCTTTTCTCTAAGTAGATGAGTATCATGCTGAAATTGAAGGAAGTGCAATTTTAGATTAACGTAAAATTTAATTTAAATATTATAAAACCAGCGTTGAATGTAATGAAATGCCAGTTTCTGGGTAAGTCCTGGAGGCTCGCCGAGTCTATAATCACTGATTAAGTGCCATGCCGTACTACCTAGTATCATCAGTTGCAGCGTTCTTTTTGCCTAAAGGGATCCACAAGCCAGAACCTGGCCGCCTCAGGGAGGTGCAGAGAACAATGGCCTGTGGTCACTTTACACTTAATGTTATCATCTTTACCATCACCAGGGAAGGAACCCAGAAAGATATACAAATCAAAACAAACCACTGCATGGTTTAAAAAAAAAAGCTCTCAAAATGTCAAAAGAATTCCCCCAAAATAAAAGAAACAACCAAAACATGGTGAAACTAGCCCCCGCTAGTTAGCTTCACCTCTTTGTTGTGGGGAAGGGGAAGCCAACCCAGGGAGGCATGGATGACAGGCTTTATAAATATATAAATATATAAATATATATATATAAATAAACAGTATATATATAAATATATATATATAAATATACAGTATATATATAAATATATATATATATATATATGTCGTACCTAGTAGCCAGAACGCACTTCTCAGCCTACTATGCAAGGCCCGATTTGCCGAATAAGCAAAGTTTTCTTGAATTAATATATTTTCTCTGATTTTTTTCTTATGAAATAATGAAGCAACGCATTTCATTATGTATAAGGTTAATTTTTTTTTATTGGAGTTAAAATTAACGTAGATATATGACCGAACCTAACCCACCTTACCTAACCTAACCTAACCTATCTTTATAGGTTAGGTTAGGTTAGGTAGCCGAAAAAGTTAGGTTAGGTTAGGTTATGTAGGTTAGGTAGTCGAAAAAACATTAATTTATGAAAACTTGGCTTATTAGGCAAATCGGGCCTTGAATATTAGGCTGAGAAGTGCGTTCTGGCTACTAGGTACGACATATATATATATATATATATAAATACATTTATATACACTTCATATCATATAAATACACTGGTGACCTGAGGGAGGGAGGGTGTCAGGGAGCCTCTGGGACTCACCCAGAAACTGGAGTTTCATTATATTCAAAGCTGGTTTTCTGTGGGTAGCCCTCCAGACTACCTTGAAGTTACCTTGAAGTGTTTCCGGGGCTTAGTGTCCCCCGCAGCCCGGTCGTCGACCAACGATCGGTCATTGCTGGACTAGTAAACCAGGCTGTTTGATGCGGCTGCTCGCAGCCTGACGTATGAATCCCAGCCTGGTTGATCAGGTATTCCTTGGAGGTGCTTATCCAGTTCTCTTTTGAACACTGTGAGGGGTCGGCCAGTTATGCCACTTGTGTGTAGTGGAAGCGTGTTGAACAGTCTCGGGCCTCTGATGTTGATAGAGTTCTCTCTCAGAGTACCCATTGCACCTCTTCTCTTCAACGGGGGTATTCTGCACATCCTGCTATGCCTTCTGGTCTCGTGTGGTGTTATTTCTGTGGGACCAGCCCCTCTAATATTTTCAACGTATAAATTATTATGTATCTCTCCCAGCTGCGCTCAAGAGAATACATATTTAGGCTCTTTAGTTGCTTTAAAGTAGTTTAAATATTTTACTGAGTGGATTCTAGCAGTAAAGGATCTCTGCACGCTCTCCAGGTCAGCAATTTCTCCAGCTTTGAAAGGGGCTGTCATTGTGCTATCAGTACTCCACTCTAGAGAGCACTAGTGTCTTGAAAAGTATCATCATTGGTATAGCATCTCTAGTGTGAAAGATTCTTGTTATCCAACATGTCATTTTTCTTGGAGTTGTGACGGCTACTTTATTGTGTTCTTTGAAGGTAAGGTTTTCCGACATGAGTACACCTAAATCCTTTACATTGCTTTTTCGTTCTATGTTATGATTTGACTGAATTTTGTACGTGGTTTCCGTTTTTATATTTTAATTTTTCCGTAGCACATAAGCTGGAACTTACCTTCATTAAACACCATATTATGTTCTGTAGCCAATAGAAAGACCTGATTTACATCTGATTGGAGGTTTGCAGTGTCCTCTATGTTGTCTACTCTCATGAAAATCCTAGTATCATCTGCAAAGGATGATACAGTACTATAGATTGTGTCCTTGTCTATGTCCGATATGAGGATGAGATAAAGTACCGGAGTACCCTGGGGAACTGAGCTCTTCATGGTTGATGGACTGGATTTTATTTTGTTGACTATTGCACATTGGGTTCTGTTAGTCAGAAAATTGTAGATCCATCTGCCTATTTTTTCGGTAATTCCTTTTGAACGCATTTTATGTGTAATAACACCATGGTCATATTTGTCAAAGGCTCCCCTGAAGCTAACTACCCAAAGAGAGACAAAATTGTGAAAATTTACCAGGGAGGTAGGATCACTGCAGGTATCAACTCGAAGACGAGACCAAAGGCCGCAACAGATGCCCCAAGGCAACAGAAGGCTGCAAGAGGACCAGGAACATTTAGCAGATACCTGGCAGCCAAAACCCTATTTGACCTCTAAAACCCCTACGTCCAAATATCAACCCAAGACTGATATGTTGTTGACCAAACCACACACTAGAAGATGGAGACAACAACGTTTTGGTCCGTTCTGCACCATTATCAACTCAATTGTGATGAGGCGAGGGAGGCCCTGGCATAAGTAAGGCAAGAGAGGTGAGGAAGAGGAAATCTTAGAGGAAGGTATGAGCAAGGCAAAAGGCACAGAAGGGATAAGTGTAATAATAGGAGTAAGAATGGAAGCATAAGAAAAAAAAAAGCATAAAAAACTAGCGTTAAATGTAATGAAACGCCATTTTGTAGGCGAGTCCCGGAGACTTCCCGGAGCTATTCAGGCTGATATGCTACTGTCAGACTTTGGCATCAGTCATGTGTATGGAGTTCTGTGGGCCTACCTGGGACCACAAGCAAGAACCTGGCCCCCCTCACAGTGGCACGAGGAGCAATGGCCTATAGAAATTCCCATGTGGTTGCCATCGAAAACACTGCCGCCTAGACAAAGCCTGCAGATGGGACACCAACAACGAAGCCACCTGATCACCATAGAGATGATGATAGACTCGAGTAAAAAATACCATACGCGTTCACTCGAGGAGAAGATTGAACCAGCTGCATGACTCACTTGTCCGATCTGCTGAAAGAGGCGGAGCCGCGGGAAAACCTCCGGGTCCTGACACCGTGCAAGCAGCGCCTGAAACCAAGGCTGGGCCGGCCACCATTGGACCAAAAGGACTACTCTCCCTGTAAAGTCTCCAAGTGAGTCAGGACCTGGAGCAACAGCTGAACTGGGGGAAAGAAGTACAGGAACCCCCACCTCGACCAGTCCTGCCGAAAAGCATTGATCCCGACGGCCTCACAGTCGGGGAAGGGCGCCACATATATCGATAGGCGCCACGACCACGCCGACGTCCATTCCGTGGAGAAGGGGGACAAACCGAGACAGGCCGTCCACCAAGACATTGGACACCCCCCGAATGTGAACTGCCAGAAGAGCCAAACCCCGAGAACTCAGTAAACGAGTCACCCGAAGCGACCAGCGCCAAAGAGCCAGGGGACCGCATCAAACCCCCTCGGTTCAGGCAATTCAGTCCTGGGAGGCAACCTGGCAATCTTCAGGCAACCTGGGAGCAGTCCAAATGGAGCCTGATCTTCAATCTGTGGGTGACCCGAACCCTACGAAACGCAAACCAAATGGCCACGAACTCCTCCAGAGTGCTGTGGGCCCGACGGAAGGACAGACCCCATCGCCCCTGGCCGGCCTGGTGATCACTAGTCACAAAGCCCCAGCCGAGAGACGATGCATCCGTGAACACATTGAGCGAGGGCTCGGGTAAGCGCCATGACATTGAACCCTGAAAAACCCGAAGAGGAAGCCGGCAACGCAGAAACTGACGCAAAGTCCCCGGGGGTCGAACCCAGCAATCGCGAAAGAGGCGGAAGGGACGTCCCCGAAGGAACCAGAACAGGTGATGCAGCCAAACCCGACCCGGCAGGTAGACCAACATTGCAAAGTTCAGGCTCCGCACAGACCCTCAAGCAACCACCAGGTGACCCGAACCCTCCAGAAAACAACAAAGGCGGGACCACAGGTGAAGGAGAGACTCCGGAGGGAAAGACAAGGAAGCAGTCCAAGAGCCCCAAACAAGACCCAGCCAAGTCCGAACCTAGGAGGGGACCAGGTGGGACTTCCTCCAGTTCACCAAGAACCCGAACCCCCCCCCCCCCCCAAAAAAAAAGAAAACCCTGCTGGTGAAAACCTGGTGAAACCTGGAAACCTGGAAAACCTGGAAACCTGGTGAAAACAAGCTGCATAGTACCCTGCGCCCCGTACCAGTGCAAATTGCCCCTTACCCTAAGGTAAACAAGGAAGACAAAACACCCCAGCACAAAAAGGGCAACCGAAAACCAAGCAGTAAACGGCCTCGCAGAGGCAGAACCCAAGGAACTTGTGGAAGGTGGCCCCAAGCCCCAAGGGCAGTACTTACTGGGAACCTAGGGAAGGGAGCCCTAGGCGCATGCAGCCCAAGTACTGAAAAAAATCTCCTGGCTCGCACACCACCTAGAAGACAGTCACCACACACAAGGCACAGTGCTGAAACAAACACTAGAGCCAGAGCACACGACCGCTGCCTATAGCATCAACCTCAGAACTGGGGTGTGGATGGCTAGCATGGGGGTCTGGGGCTCCCCCTATCCCCTCCCAGGGAGGGGGAAGCTGTGCAGACAGAGGCGTGGCGACGTGTGACATTATGATCATTTGTTCGTTTCTGTTTGGGGAGTTCTACCCACTTGTTCGGCTTCTTGTAGCAATTTTCACCAGGGGCGTTTACCTTTCTGGGTGCCTAACCCGGTCGATGGCAGACAAAGAATGCTTTCAACCACACAGGGGGTCTCTATAGACCATTGCTCCTCGTGCCTCTGTGAGAGGGCCAGGTTCTGGCTCGTGGTCCCCGTTAGTCCCACAGAAC